CTGATAGGTCTTGACATTTGAGCAAGATCCATGGCTTTTCCAGCTCTGCTCTTCTGTCCCCTCTGGTCAGCCTGGCGAGCTGTTTGTGGTCCCTGGTGGTACTGCTTCATTTCAAGGAAATTCGAGCAGCATGGTTTGTGTGACAGGCTGAGTCCCTGCACCCAGGCGAGTTGCCCTGTGGCACAGCTAGCCAGCCCCACTCTGTCCTGTGCTTCCTGGTGTTGAACCCTCAGGCTGCTACTTTGTCTCTCAAGTGCCAGTTTTTTCTCCAAATATGAAGAAATGAGGAAGGAACTTAATAGGGACAGGGCAATAAAACAATGAATGAAATTCACTGTAGATAAGTGTAAAATGATTTGCAGCAGGGACAGGGAGAGGGAGTGACAGTGTGATGAAATAATGTGCTCTGACAGATTGTTTCCACAGAAATAAGATTCTGGGCTTGTTGAAATTGCCAGCTCAGCTGAAAACCGAACGGAGAACATAGTTATGCCACTGATTAAAGCCGTGGTGCATCTGCATGTTGGCTGTTATCTGCACTTTGCCTGCATGGTCCCTTCATTCCTAGAAAAAAGGTAGACTAGGACTGGAAGGATTTGGAAAAGTACAATAAGGAGGGACAGATACCTGCACCAGGTTGCCTAAGAAGACAAACTAAGCAAGCTATGACTATAAACTGAAAAAGAGACAACTGAGATGGGGATCATAGGTGCCAATAATATCAGGAATGTTGTGGAAAAGGCAACGGGGGATCAAATGTTCGCTGTCTCTTCCAGTGCAAGTTCGCAGGATGTGTCTGAACTCTGAAGCTACCTTGGTACAGGTTCACAGGTGAACTAGTCAGACTCCTGGGGCAGTGCTGGAGGTGGTATCACTCTATATGACAACCGATGAGTTGAGGTTCCCAGGAGCTGCCCACGAAATCTCAGTTGCCTCCAGCCTCTGTTTAAGGATTCGGAAATGAGATATCATCACCTCTCACGTGGGACTGGAGACCACCATCACGCAGCACTAAAAAAGAAGCGATTGCACTTCCTGCAGCCATTAAAAAATTGCAGGTTTGGTAATCAGCATTATTTTGCTGGTTAACAGGCAATAATTCCTCTTTCTCAGTCCTCCCTCCAGGTGGCAGCGTACTGGCTGGGAGCCTGTCCTCATCTGCCTTAGTTGTGTAAGGGCCTAAGTGTGGTGCTGTTCCCAGGCAAGTGATCCATCCTCCAAGCAGAAGAGAAGCGCGCTGTCCTTCCAAACTCCCAGCCAGCCTGGGCATGTGGCTGCATTTTGCTGAGCTGTTCTCGTCAGCGTTAGTTGCCTTGTACCAGAAAAAACCCCAAACACTTTCATCATTGTAGGCAAAATCTTGATGCAACTTAATCTCTTCTCACAACTTTCAATCTCTTGGATTAAAATACCTCAACTTGCTCTGTACCCCAGGCCAAATGTTACTTAAGCATCCGTGTCAAAAAGGCCAAACTTTAATGTGCTTAGAAAGAAGGAAAAGAGATGGAGCGGAAGAAATCTTAGATAGTTCCAAGCGAATAGTTTTCTTTTAAGAATACAGTGACTTGAAGGATTTAGGAAAGGGTATCTGAAATCTGATGAGGGAATGATCCTGTGGCTGTAGGGTTACATGCATTTGACTTGGGCTTAGGTTTGATTTTTCTTCTAAGTGTCGGGGGCCAGAGGAGCAGGGGCTAATCGAAACAAAAATCAGAATGAAAAGCTGCATTTCTGCTTCCCTGTCAACATGACACGGGCATTTTTAAGTGCAACGTTCATTGCGCTGTTAGCAAGAGGAACATTGGCTGTACGTTTGCTTTTGCTTGTGGGGTGTTGGAGACACGAAGGCGTGTTGCAGGTGTAGTGGGTTCACTCGCTGTCTGTCCCGCAGCAATCTGGGTGTGAGTAGGTCCCGGATGGCAGCAGGGCTCAGACTGGGGCTGCCCACGAGGAGGAGGAAAATTTGTAGCTAGGCTTGGCGTATTTTAAAAGCGCATGCAGTCATCTTAACTCTGTCAGTGATAATAGGCCCGAAATGCATACGCGTTTTTCCTTCACGCATAATGCTGCTTCGTATTTAGGATTATTTAGCTTATCCATTACCTCAGTTGTCTGAGGACACACTGTAAAAAGCTATAGAAAAGGCATTTTAGGCTATGGGAATGACTTCAGCGTAAGGAAAGCATGACTAAGGGCTGAGAGAATGTGCAACGAGAATTACCCTCTTCAGGCTGAAGAAAATTCCCAGAAAAACTAGGCATGCGGGAAATGCCTCGCTGCTTAACGGAGCTGGACATACAATGTGTGTGGGCAGAAAGCCAGCCATCCACAAACACATTGTGCGAGCGCTATAGTCTTTGTAAACTTGCCATTTTCCAAAGAGAAGTGTATTTTTGGGGTTTATCAGATAGAAAATACAACCAAAGAACCTAGATTTTATCTCTTTCTCTGCCTTGGAGTCCTATCTGGCCGGGCACGTGTGCTCACTGGCTTTACATAATGCAAATATAGAAAACCCCAGAGGTCTTTAAACAGCCTGATTGTGTCGTATCAGTGCATTTCTGCTCCATCCAGCGGCTCCCTATGGGGCAGGTTTGGGGGGTTACTGCCTGGGCACACGCTCAAGAAAGTGATTTTTGGCATTTTTCCTCAACACGCAGTCATAGCTGCAACAGTAACGAAAGCTTGCAAATGGGATTTCCTTCTTAAGAGCCAAGGAAGAGAGTAATCTTGTATTGTCAAACCTTCGGTTTCTAATAGACACTTACTTACGGCATTGTTCGAGCCAGCCGAGATCCCATTCCCGCTGTCACAACTATGCACTCAAACTCCCATGCTGCTTCATCTCATTTTCCCAATCATTTTTTCTTATTTGTTTTTGACTTAAAAAGCACCAGAGTGGTGGCTGAATTAATCTTGAAAACAATCCACTTAACGCGCCCTTGCGATCATCTGCCAGGCTCCTGGAGGCTGGTTCCTGAGGCGCTGCCACTTGTTCTTCGCTTCTGCTTGCCACTGCTGTTTGCAGGAGCGAATGAGTGGGAGACATGTCTGTGCTCCTCTGCTGAAGAATTCGTTTGTAATTTCATATGGAGATGCTTCACAGTGATGATTCACAATGTATTTCTGATAAATGAGATGTTCCCACAGAAAACCTTCGGTATTGGGATTCGGTTTCCAACGAAGACAAGAAAAAGCACAACCGTGTGGGGGCTGAGTGAAAGCAGGGCATGGTGGCTTTTCCTCTGCTGATACTTGTATTTTAGTGCAGGTTTAAAAAACATGTTTCCTCAGCCAAGACTTAAAAATACTATGTAGGGAAGAAAAGAGAAGCAGGTAGAGGATGAGTCTGCTGGCTGTGGTTACCTGGCAGAAGAGTTGCTTTGGCTGTGGGCTGCTAGATGTCTGCAACATCAAGGAAAGCGTAATAAAATGCATCTTGGCAACGTCACAGAAATAAAATTATAAATAGGGAAGTCAACCATGCTAAGTACAGTAGTGAAAACACATCCGGTGAAGTAAAGGTGCAAGGATTTTTCCCCAGAAAAACGCATTAACCTTTTATGGAGGTAGATGTGACTTTGGGAACTCAGGAGAGTTTCATAACTTCAGAAGGAACAAGAAATGACAATCTGATAACGCTTCCTCAAGAATGCGTGGCATTCTTCGTTGTGAGCTTCATGTTCTCTGCGGGATGTGGATGACTCAGGCTACAAGATGAAAAATACATCCAGACCTATAAATGATTTACTGTAGGCGTGTGCAAGTGTGAATTGCTTTGTTGCTTCCCAATATGTTGTAGATCCTCCTTATAATTTAGTTCTATAAAGTGGGGGTTTTTTATGAATGAGAAGTAGTAAAAATGAATGACTTTGCAAATAATTTAACACTAAACTGTGCCTAAAATGAAAGTCTGCTCTCTGCTGTGCCATGTATGTGTCTGTAGGATTTCCCTCAGAAGGGAATTTAGTTGAAAAATTAATGGAATAGCTAACGGTTTATTTTTAAGATTAATATCAGTATGACTATCCTTTAAGCTGGAAAAAAGTGCCTTTTCTTTCTCTTTGCATGTTTGCAATGTATGTGGGAACACAAGGGGGCTAGGAGAGAAACTGGAACACTTGCATTTGCTTAGGCTTTGAGTAGGACCAAAGTTTTTTACTCTGAGCTTTGTTCACTTCTGTGTTATTCTCTGTCTCTGTCAGGTTGAAGCCAATGTAAAGCTGGAGTGGTACAATGGGGAGTTGGGTATCCCGTCTCCAGGCTTTTCCCATCTTTGTTGAAAATTGAGCCTGATCCAAAACATGGGATCTCAGGCTTCTCATGGGCAGAGAGTCTCCCTCTGAAATTCCAGCCAGGATCCAAATTTCTGTATGAACCCTATATTTATAAGTTAAACCTCTGAAAGCCACCAGCTCTGCTGTTTGGAGGAGGTTATTGTGTTGTCCCCTTGGGAATGAGGATCAGCGCAGACGTGCCTTCTCGCTCCCCAGCCCAGGTGCTTAGCGAAGAGTAATTGCTTGGAAAGCAGAAAGAAGGTCCTTGAAAAGAACTAAGATTTGGCTGATACCCAGGCTGGGAACTGTTCCTGTCCTGTTTGTGTGAATTCACTCTCATTTTATAAATATTGAATGACGGATGCTTTTTTTGAAGGTGCTGAACATCTATAGTTTCCATCAATGTTAGGAGTAGTTTTGCATACCCAGTGTGTGTTCCTTGAGGAAAAGAACCCGTGGAGGATGCTTACTGAGTGCCCTGCTTAGTCCTGCTTCTTGCAGGAACCTTTCCACAAAAGTTTTCTACTGCTCGTTTCAGCCAGGGTTAGTAGATTCTTTCCTGAAAGGCAGAGATGACAAGACATCTCCTTCCTTGCGGCGTAGCGAAATGGCCCTTGGCTGACTTGGCAGTCACGATTCGCTATTTTTTGGAAGGCTCTGACCTTCCATTTGTGGCTGCTGATGTGTTTGGTCTAAATAGCTGTGCTTTGTGTCTCCTGGCAGACCATGCAACAGATGAGTGACCACCGCTACGACAAGCTGACGGTGCCCGATGATGCTGCAGCAAATTGCATTTACTTAAACATTCCCAGCAAAGGCCACGTCCTGCTGCACCGAGCCCCCGAGGAGTACCCGGAGAGTGCAAAGGTGAGAGCTGTGCTGAGGTTCTGGGGAGACCCCCAGCATCCCGGCCTTGCCATGGAGTCTGTTGGAATTGAAATGGGGAGCTTTCCAGAACGGGCCGTTTTATGCCATCGTGGAAATAGCAGGTGGTGAAAGGTGGGAGGCCTGGGCTATGTTCTCCTCTCCACCACTGCTTTAATTACTTGGTCTCTTGTGGCCTCGGTGCTGCTTCTGCATAACTGGATGCAGCAGCAGTTCCCCTCACTGCAGCGGTGATGTGGGTGAATCCCAGAGCCAGGAGGCCACGTGCGCTGTAGATGTTAACGTCAGTTACAAATGACAAGATGGCTTAGTACCCGCCGATCGAGCCATTCCTGTTCATCCTATAAACACTTAGAGAAAAAGGAAAATAGAGAGGCATGAAGTGTAATGGTTTCCGTTCCGTTTTCTTTCCTGAACAGGTATTTGAAAAACTGAAGGACCACATGCTGATCCCAATAGCCAACACAGAACTGGAGAAAGTAGATGGGTCACTCACCTGTTGCTCTGTGCTTATTAACAAAACTTCAGAATTATGAGTTTACAGAGTTCCCTCCCTTGTAACTGGCAATAATGTTACACACAAGGTAGACGAATCTGTATCCACACTTTTATTGTTTTTATTGACAATCTACTGTACCACTGTGCTACTAACCCTTGTTTACAGATTTTTTGCTTTTGTGTATTTTTTATTATGTCCTTGCAGATGGCATTTAAGATGGATGTACGGTTTGTAGGGGGGCACATAACTCTGAAGTGTGTTAGTCCCATGGGCTAGCAGACGACAATTATAACGGCTAACCCCTAGCTCTAGTGATTTAACATACTTGTGTGAAAATTTTATGAAAACCAACTAATTCTCAACATTTCAAGCACCTCTGTTGTCTTTACACTGTTCCATTTTCTTGTCTTTTTTCTCTGGCTTCCTTGCTCTGCAACTTTTTTTTTCTTCCTAGATCCTCTTTACTTTCAATGATGCAAGATATCAGGGAGGACTGAAGAAAACTCAGTGTGCTCATGAACTTGGTATCTTGTGTGGTAGGGAAGCTGGAACAGTGGGCAATGGCGTGTGCTCGCTGTCTCAGCCATATCGCGTTGCTTCTGGGCAGAGTTGGGGCTACCATCAGTTTCAGACACTGGGTAGCAACTTCAGAAGAAGTTTCCCCTGACAGGGAGCGTTCAAGGGCAATGTCTGTCTGGGAAACTTGAATAACAAAAAGAGAGTAGTGCAGCCACACGACACAGGTCCTGCAAATTAAGGTCTCAGTTTGCTGCTAATGCCCTGACTTTCAGTTTGGTGAGAATGGAGGAGGAGTTTTTAAAAAGGCCAGATCCCAAGGAGCACCTAGACCACAAAAATGAAAGACTAAAATGCTTTTGGAAAAGTCAAACCTAGAAAAGTAATCTAAAATTTGGGGGTAATTCGCTTTGTTTGCTTTTATTTATTTCTGTCTCTCCTTTCTGTTTTCTGCTGTTTTGGAGGCCACTTACTAGCAAAATTCAAAAGAAAAGGGTGATAGAAGGAGTTGAAGGACAGCTATTCCTGGATTATGCTTATGAGTAAGAGAAGCTATTTTTTCCTGAAAGATTGGCATTTGTACTTTATCTGCCCTTGGGGCAGTTTTCCTTGGAACAATAACCATCTTTTTTTTTAAATTGCATGAATATTTAGAGTGGTATTCAGTTAAAACAAATATATTTTTTGTAGCAAATTCCACAACATGTTTACCCTCTGAGTCATGCTTTTTTTTCACCACAGTAAAGTGAAGCATACCCAATTGTATTCACATGCTTGTTAAATCACTTGTAAACTGAGGATGGAGAAATTCCCAAACAGAGGCAGTAGCGGAAGCTCTCCAGAGACTGACAAATCGTCTGAACATGTTGTCAGCTTCCTGGACATCTCCTCCACCTTTCCTGAACCACTTGTGGCGTGTTGCTGAGGTACAGTAGGAAGCGAGCAGGTGGGGCTCAGGCCCTGTGTTCTGCAGGAGAGCAAGCAGTAGTGACCAGGTGCACATCTGGATATCTGTTGGAAACCTGCGCGCTTTTTTGTGCTGTCACGAGGGAGGAAACTTGCACTCCGGTCTGTAGGTATTCCTTAGTGTACCTCTCACTTTGTCTCAGTGGCTAATGAGGACAAAACCTCCACATCTGATGCTTTGTGAGCACGCTGTACGTTGTGATAACGTGAGGTATTATGAGGGACAGAGCAATGACAAGTGAATATGTGAGAAGAGAGCATGTCCTAGAGGAAGTCTTTAGCCAGTCAAGCAGTAAATGCTGTTTTTATGGCTGCGTGCTGTCCCAAAGGGTTCTCCTAACACCCCCTACATCTCCTCCATTCCCATGTGCCATCATTTAAGCGTGACCCAGGTGATCAGGCTCTATGGATGTAAACATTGCAGCAAGGAATCTCTTTTTTCTACCTTCCCTTTTTAAATATCTGATAAAGCATCTTGCATTTGAAAATGACTTGACATGAAACAAAGGTTTCGTGCCAAAAAGTGCCTCTGCAGCATTTAACTGTGACCTTCTAGAGGCGGGCTGTGTTCTGTTACAAACCTGTGCAGCCATGGGAGCTGTCGTACAGAGCTGGAACAGGATCCCCCCAACCTGTCCATGTACCTCCTGGGGCCATGTCCTTCAGCCCCTCTTCCCTCCCCTTGCTTGGGAGCCAGAGCATCCAGCTGCACCGGGACAGTGTTAGGCTGTAGGATTTCTGTTCACTCTATCTCAGACTTTCTGATGTGTTGTGGTTTGTCTTTTTTTTTTTTTCTTCCACCTTCTCTCACCTTTCACTTCTCTTTCCCTCAGACTCTCATTTCTAGTTTATGGGATGATGAGCACTTTTCTTTTTTTCTCTTTTAACCCCAAATGATTTTGCCTTCTGTTGCCTCAGTCCTCCTGCTTGAGTGGACTACTCTAATCTCCCTCCCTCCTTGAGTAGGTGGCAGGAGGGAGGAGAAGCTGAGAGGTCCACTTAGGCTCTGAGTGACTTCTTTTGAGCTGGGAGGATGACTGTCAACAGGAGCTGTAGATCCAGAGAGTGACAAGGGTGTCTCCTCTTCTTTAGGATTATTCCAGAAAAGAGAAACATTTGTGGTGGACACTGTTGGTGTCTTGTGTCCCTGCAAGCAACAGAATAGGTGACAGTGAATTTCTGGGGTTCCCCAAGGGAGGGAGAAGAGGGAGTTGGGATCTCGGAGCTGAGAAATATCTGCATTGACAGAGAGGTTGGTCTTTCACCTGTTGCCATGTAGATGTCCTTGGCTTCAAAGCCGCATCGTGCTATACAGGAAGAGCAAGGCAGCGCCTGAGGGACCTGAATTCCCTCTAGTGATGATTTCAAGTTTCATTCAATCTGTCTAACTTCAGGCACAGAATTTAGGTGCTCTAAATCACACCTGCTTTCTCTCTGTTGATCTCGGTAGGTATCATAGCCTTCTAACATACACCTTCTGAATTACAGCTTAGCCTGATGCCAGAAGTTACCTAAGCTGGTTAGTGGGATTGCCCTCACCTCCCCACTTTCAGCATTACTCTTTGTTCTTGCAGTATAAAGCAAACACAGTAAAGGCTCTTCAGTCTGTGCATTCACAGTATGGTACTAAGAACTAAAATCATGCCAAATGCTTCTTGTTCTTGCTGTTTGCTATTTTATCTGTTGCCCAAATGAAGAATTCAGTTGTGAGGACATTTCTGCTGTGATACATATGCATCTAATGGGCATCCTGTACATCTTGTCACCAGAACATTTCCCAGATGCCTGATACAAATCATCGTCCTTGATTAATATAAATAATAAAATCCCAAACCAAAAAAGGAGATGAGACACTGAACACTGTTGGTTGCCCGCATAAAGCACTTGATAACAACTGTCAAACTACATGACATGGCAGGACAGTGCGGAAGTTCTTGTGGTTAATCGCTCAGCAATGGGGCTTGAATTACTCATCAAAGGGCTTTTTTTTCCCTTTGAGCAATCAGTTTAGTTCAGCTCAAATGAAAGAGCTGCAATGCACATTATATTATCCTTCACAATGTTACCTTTGCGAAGAGTTTAGGGAGAACTGTGATATGTGGGTTCCTGTCTTCATCAGAATGTGAATACAGTGTCTCTCTCTGTGAAAATGTGAATGCATTCTGTACCTTACAAGATAAACTTGAATTCTTCCATTTCTGCGTTTTTTTCTTTTCCATGCTAATATACTCCTTTCTGGTCTTAAATAGATGCCACTGTATGAAGCTGTGCTCTGATTCTTTGTGTGATTTCCATGTGGTAGGTACGGAGCTCATAGACAACACTATGTCCAGTTTTAAAAACAAGAAGTCAGTGCACAGAATGCTGTTTGTTCACAGTACATTGGGGGTGAAATATGGAGAAGAAAAAAGAGCTTTTGATGTCACTCAGCTTCTTATGCATTATATCAATGAAGTCAGAGACAAATTACTTTGATAGAAAACATCAACATTCACATGGAGCCATTTGGGAAACATTATTTACTATTTAAGATTCACTGGTTTTGCTTTTATCAATAAGGAAGCTGAAAAGATAAGAGTGCTTAAAGAATGGTATTTGTTAAGAGATTGTGAACAAACTGTCGTTGGACTTCATGTACTTTTCAGAAAGGTTTGAACTGGATGTATGATGTAACTTGTATAGAGTTGCATGTGAATTGTGTTAGTCACTGTTTTACATTGTATTGTTCTGCAGTGCACAAATATGACTACTGAACACACAAGTGTTGCATTTCATTAAACTTAAAATCTAGTTGCAGTATATAGTTCCCCACTTTTTGTGCCAAAAACATCAATACATTCCATAATCTGTTCTAATAGAGGTTTGCACTTTGATTTTTTTTTTTTTTGGTGACTCTTGCAGTTTCAATACTATATATCCCCATCATGAAGGAATAAAGTGTCAGTTGTACTGTGCACTGTGTAGTTTTTGCCTCTTGTTTTGAAACTGAAAGCGCGTGCATTTAGTTTACTAATGTCATCTTTTTATTTGGAAGCTTTTACATGCCTAGAAATAAAGCCAGTTATAGACACTAGTGTTAAAACTGTTAAGCCTCCTGGAAGAAATCTTGACTCTTTAAAAACGAATCATTATTTTAGACTCTACATTGAAGAATAACGCATGGAAAGGGAATATTGCCTGTGTGTTCTAGATACAGTGGCTGTGACTAAATTTTATTGTTGTCAAAGATAACTAAACGGATGTTACTGTAATATAGTGTTTTCTCTGTAGTTCCTGTATTTACCGTAAGTTACAAAAGGTGAAACTACACAGGTTTAGTGGCATGAGCGTTATGGTTAAATTATTCACATAACTCTTGTGTCTTTTCTCCCCAGGATGTCAAGAGAGGTGACTACATTTCAGACGTTGCTTTGTGGTAACATGACAGATGGTCGCATGTTTTATATCTAAATACTATTCGTTGTGTGCTACAAATAGTGCATGTGGGGCTAATCTCTGCTTGTACCCTTGTGCTCCAGTGTCAGGAGGTTATGATATTAGGATTAACGGTGTCAGGGGACCGTGCATTTACGCCAGGCTTCACCGACACGTGTAAGTGCTCATGAGCCTTCAGTGCCACCTTGTGGCAATCCAAAATTCAGTTGTTCAAGGCCTCAATAGTGTTGCTTCAACTTTTTAAGAACCCAAATATAAATTAACAGGACGGTAGCAAAAGAATTACATTACTTCCAAACAGTACAGCTTTGCCCGTAATAAGACTTGAAACAACCCATTATCTCTTTTTCTGGAAAAGCAGTGACAAAGCAAGATTTCATTTGGGCTGATCTAAATACAGCCTTTCTACTAATTACTACAGTGGTTACAAATACTATTTTGATACTAATATATTTAAATATCAGTGCTGTGTCTACTGTGGATGTATTTAGCTTGGTGCAATTAATATAGTAAACTATTGCATTTACATCCATCTTTGTGTAGCTATATCTACAGGAGACAGCTGCTATCAATTTACTTGAAACTGTTTC